TTTTAATTACCTCTTGTGCTTGCAGCCCAATAAAACCTGGATAAAATGTGGAAGAGTAAAACAGCAACATTTCATTAGGCTATAAATAAAATTGTAATACAGCTGAAATGTTTTATTAACATTTAACATTCACAATCATCTTTATTAACTTTAGTATATTTAGTAATAGTTAAATTATTTCATTGTTCTGTCTTTAAATCTGATAAAAAAATTTTTTTTTCCAAATTTGAATATTAATTTCTGCTAATTTAATGAAAATAATACAACTCAATAACACATACCTTCAGACACCAGCAGGACGGCCAACAGAAACGTGTTCTGCTGTCTGTACTCCATGATGTTTATTTTTCAAGTGGTGGACCACTGCACTGATATTAAAGGTGCTGGATTACTGTAATCCACAGAGCACTAATGGCTTTATCTAATGCCCTTCATCTCAAAGCTCCTCCCTTTACTTCTGAAAGCTAGTTTGAAATTGTTCACATCCCAGTCGGACCCTTGTCTGTTAAAAAAGGGAGAAATAGCCAAATGAGCTCAGATTATAAAGCCGGATGGTCACCTTCTGTGACCCAGTTAATGGTTCAATGCATGCAATTAACTCAATTAAACTTCCCCGGCAATCTGTTGATGCAAATCACTACATTCAATATGCCATCTGATGGAGAGACAAGATGAAGGCTGGTTTCTTTCTTTTCAGTGCAGTGTCACCTTTCTTCTGTAGTTGCTATGGTTCATGATCAATTATTTCATTATGTACAGGTCTTCATTGTTTTTTTTTTTTTCATTAATAATGTCAAAGACATAGATTTCTTATATGCTGGCAGGTGTTTGCAATGAAATGACGCATGCTGGAACACAGCTGGGTAGACATTGTTTTAATTGTTATTAATTACAGCAGAATATACATTATAAACACTGTTAAGAGTCAGACATGCCCAGACTTAAATCAAATGTTAGGGTGCTGTTTCCCACTTGTACCCTAAAGATAACACACAAACAAATAGTCTTCACAAAAGACATAGACAAAGTGCTGAGTGAGTGGTGGTGATTATGCTTGAGCTAAATGTTGTGCATTGGTGAATAAAGTTACAAGCAAATAACTTTTGATAGATGAAGGCCCAGACAGATTCTGCACTTTTATCTAATTGTTTGTACTGATTTTGTGGCAGAAATAAATATGGAAGTGTTTGTTAAAACTATAGAGTACTAGACTCTTACTGGCAATTGAAAGAAACAGTAAAAAGCCTAAATGTGTCATAAACGAACATGCAAGCGGTGAGGGATGTGAAGAAGTTTGCAGATTCTGTATGGGCCTGAAAGATGTAACCAAAATGATGGCAGTTGTCTAAATAAAAGTCACATCCCGATTGGTTGGATTTTTGACAGCTACTGTATGTTGTTCATGTCAATCCTGTCAAGCAGAAGGGGAAAGGACACAATTTAGGGATAGACCACATTGTCAATTCAGCAAACAGGATTCAAACAGACTGCAGTAACTCAGCAAAACAGTTCAACATCTAATAGGAACAGTCTTAACATTTATATAAAATAAAAACAGATATCTTTCTAAGTACATTCTATGACAGACTCAGAAGTCAGTCCACTAAAATAAAAAAAGAGAGTGACAGATATGTATATGAACTCATATGACAGATGCTCTTCTGCCAGAATAAACTCTTTTTCCTGATAAGATTGTAAACCTTTGGCCTTGCATGACTTCACAATGGCTTTAATTGGCACACAACGGCTTTAGACAAAAATGTGGTGATTTCAATACTTAAAGGTGGAATAAACATTATGAAATGTCTAAAGTAGAAAAGAGAGAACTGTTTTTGATAACCATGAAAGACACAGATGCAGCTGACCACTGGGCCTTATTTAAGACTTACATTCTTATGGAGATATAAACATTTGTCCAATGGTAAACTGAAAAAAAGGTAAATGCATTACATTCCAAGAGGATACAGCTTCTAGTCATTGCCAAGCCACAGAAAATGAACAGCCATTCACAAATATGAGGATCAATGAAGATGCCCAATATATTTAATCTATTCTGTGCACTTCTGGGGACGAACCTGAATGTTTATATCCCTGCATTCAACAGCTCAGACACTGGAAGGCTAACAGGCATCCTATATGGATGATAGATGCTACAAGCCAATATAAGACAAGCTGTCTATGGCTATTAAACCATGACAGATGAGTTGTCAGTACCTGCAGGTATACTTAAACATGGCAGTGAACCAAGAAGCACTCTGAATCACCTTCAAAATATCCTTCAACATACATTTAAGGCAGTCAAAACCCTGCTCATTCAGTCCATATATAAGGTGAATAGAGGTGAAGTGGGACACAATTTGTCAGTGTAATTTTTAAAACATAATCCAAATGGCAACAATGTCATCCTGTAGTAATTTAAGATAGAATATACACATTATTATAGGATCAGCTATATTACTGTTTAAAAGCTTGGGGTTGATACGTTTTTTGAAAGAAGTCGCTTATGCTCACCTAGGCTGTATGTATTTGATCAAAAATACAGTAAAAACAGTAATATTGTGAAATATTATTACAATTTCAAATAACTTTTTATATATATATTTTAAAATGTAATTTATTGACGATAAAGCTGAATTTTCAGCATCATTACTCCAGTCTTCAGTGTCACATGATTCTTCACAAATCATTATAATATGCTGATTTGGTGCGCATGAAACATTTATTATTATCAATGTTTAAAAAAAAATTTTTTCAGGACTCTTTGATAAATAGAAAGTTAAAGAACAAATTATTTGAAACATACACACACACACACACATATATATATATATATATATATATATATAAACCTAAAACAAATTTTAAAACAATATTGTGTATTCACTCTACAATATCACACCACTATCAGACTCCATTTTGACAGAAATTACAGAATGGTCATTTCTGCCCACAAAGATGCAGCCCTTCTGAAATCAGTTTTCTGTTTTAGCGCTTAAACTAGCTTTGTAGTATTTTAGTACTCTGGGATAGGGAAGTGGTCATTTTTTTGCATGTTAGCATGATTCTACATAAGTTGATTTGAAAGAAAAAACATAACATTCAAAACAAAATAATGGTGCTTCGCAAACCAGAAGAAATGCAGAATCAGCGACATTCTACATGCTGCAAACGTAGGTTTTGTAGCGGGTTAACAAGACTAGTTATAGATTACCAGTCGCAGGCGACCTCACCACAGCTGGCGACAGCCAAACTATTTATCTTGGCAGTCCTAACAGCTGGCTGATGAGAACATTACCTGGCACCACAGAGACCGACTGTGCCAACGTACTGCAGATTAAAGGATGTTCGAGCGTTTATGGACAAGGTGTTAATCCAAAGTGATGCAATCACATTCAGGCCAGGATGAAATACTCTCAAACAGGCAGACCGCATTACTCAGGAACAAAGAGTTTCATTTCACTAATATTAACCTGAAAATATGCAACAAGAAAACAAGAGGTTCCAAAAAGGGGCTTTTCGAACAAGCACATAGAAGTTGATTCTCATCTCTTCCTACAAATTAAAAAACAACAGTTTGTTATTGCATGGCAGTTTAACCATGAAAGACAACACAAGAGTTTAAAAGAACATAATGACTAAACACGATTGCTGTCAGATATATGATGTGAGATATATAGAATATAAATGATTCAAGATGTTACTGAAAATTAACTTGGTTATTTCATTATGCATAACACACTGAAATAGTGCCAAGACAACGGAATCAATAAGATATAAATGAGAACCGATAAAATAAACATGACTTTTGATGTAAATGTCAAAGATACTGTATAGACTAAATCTGAATGTGTAACTTGAACATAAAACATCCAAATCCAGTCCTGTGAAAGACAGAGCTCATATACTGTAGGTAGATAAGGTAGAAGATTAGATAGATACAAAATTCTGTTTTAAATCAAACACCATATCAGCACAAACACCTGTGAAATGTCTGTTTAAAGGGCACCATTTATAAACAATACTAATTTTAAAAAAAATTGTTCCCAGGACACATTTCACTAGAGTTATTTAAAATGAAAAATGCTCTGTCACTCTCTTTGGGGGGATTTTGTAAGAAACTTCAGTTGTTAAGCAAAGTGCCTGTCGTGATAATCAATGTAAATGAATAAAAATGTAACACTCTGCTGCAACTCTATGAAGGATGATAAATTCACCTCAAAGTTATGATATATTGCTCTGTTTGCATTGGTATTCAAATGCCTGGAATTCTTAATATAGCTATTTTGCATATTTCATATCCATCTCATTTCAATCTATATTAGTAGAATATAATTTAATGAAATGTACAGTGAGATAAATCTAAAGCAAACACTGAAGGCCTGAATGAAAATGTGCTGCGTTTCAGAGGCCACTCAAAAATCTTACTGCGTCTCCCACCTGCCCTCCCGGCTAACAGATCAATAACTGCATTACGTCTTTGAAATCCTTTTACCAGGTTCTGAGGCAATGCTTTTATCTCTTCAAAAACATGCGGTTAAACTGATTCAAATAAAAATAATAATAATAATACTATTATTCAGCAAGGATGCATTAAACAGTCAAAAAATACATTTATAATGTATTCGATTTCAAACAAATGTTGTTATCTTTCTTTCATCAGAGAATCCTGATTAAACATATCATGGTTACCACAAAAAATATTAATCAGCATAACTGTGATATTAATAAGAAATGTTTTTGAGCGTCAAATCAGCATATTAGAATGATTGCTGAAGGATCAGGACTGCTGATATTTCAGTTTTGCATCAGGAATAAACTACATTTTTATACAGATTAAAATAGAAAACAGTGATTTAAAATTGTAAAAAATATTTCACAATATTACTGTATTTTTGATAGATAACGAAAACTATTAATAATAATAATACTATTATTCAGCAAGGATGCATTAAACAGTCAAAAAATACATTTATAATGTATTCGATTTCAAACAAATGTTGTTATCTTTCCTTCATCAGAGAATCCTGATTAAACATATCATGGTTACCACAAAAAAATATTAATCAGCATAACTGTGATATTAATAAGAAATGTTTTTGAGCGTCAAATCAGCATATTAGAATGATTGCTGAAGGATCAGGACTGCTGATATTTCAGTTTTGCATCAGGAATAAACTACATTTTTATACAGATTAAAATAGAAAACAAAGTGATTTAAAATTGTAAAAAATATTTCACAATATTACTGTATTTTTGATAGATAACGAAAACTATAACGTTTTAATAATTGTTCTAATTCTTTGAGAATTTGTCCACAACACGATAACAATGATGAATCACTTTCAAAACCATTTCTTCCACATGATAAATAATAAAAACATTGACAGCCAATCAGAATCCATCCTGCTTTAAAGAACTTGGGCTTTAAAAGTAGCATGTGCTTAGAATAAACAGAATGTTATTGTGTGTCAATATGGATGCTAATATATTATAGTTATCTTTATAGATACGCTGTTGGTGTGAATTTTTTATTTATTTTACCTGAGGCTGCACATCTGTCTGCTTTTCAGGCCAAGTGTTGTCCCTGTCACGATCACGATCCCTCTCACGGTTTCGATCCCGGTCACGCTCCCTGTCCCTTTCCAGATCACGTTCCCGGTCGCGATCTCGGTTGCGGTGACGACTGCTGTGATGAGACGAGGATTTGACTGGTCTTTGTATCACTAGCTGGTCTTGCTGAGCCTCACTAGGAACCTGACACACAGGACACACCAGTGAACTCACCTGAATGCTGGGACTTAAGTACAATAAATCTCCTCTCCAAACAAAAATTCACCCATAATCTCGTGCATTAGGCCAGAAAACTGGAAACGTGCTGAAATACTGCCCTTTTAACCAGTTCATGGCATCCAGTTGATTACGATGGAAACAATTTAAGAATTAAAAAAGATATCATTCCAGTGACCAGCTTTTACAAGTATATCTGGAGAGCATGAATTTTTGAAGATAGGTAAAGACCTTAAGTGTTTCGGGACGTGCCCAGTTTCTGACCCTTTGTACCAAAATGTGCAAGAGTTTGTGTACAGAAGACAGAGAGTTTGTGTGTGGAAACATTTTGACCACTTCTCCTACTCTTTCCCAGGTTCGGAGAATGGTAAATGAGAAAACGTGCATCCTCTTTGAGCAAGTGCTGCTAAAGACGGTTATGGGTTCCATGCTTCTAACAGAACACATGCTGATGCTTTTGCGATGCTAGCAGTAACCTAAGCGATGATGTTTAGTGAGTAAAACACACAGAACCAGATCTGTTACGTCAACATATAAAAACGTCCTTACCTAATATGGTTCGACATTGATTGTCAATATTGCATTACATAAGACAACACAGTATATTAAACTATGAGTCTGTCTCTTCTACCAACTATTGAGATCATAAATTAAATGTGATATGTGCAAAGATGTATTAGGCTCAAAGACCAGTTTAAGAACAGTTTTACTTTGGCTGAAAATTCATATTTAATATATTAATTTAAACATCAACACAGCTAATTATCTTAAAATAACACAAAAGAACAAATAATTTTTTTGTGACATGTATAAAATGATGCACGCATCTGCAACAATAAATGTCTTAAATTATTTTCATTCTGGGTTGTAGTTGCATTAAAAAAAATAAAATAATAATAATAATATATATATATATATTTTTAATACAACTATATTTTTCAGCAAAAAAAAAAATTAATATAAAATTAATTTGATAAAATAATCAGCATATCATGTAATTAATTTGATTAAAAAGTTTAATATAGATCTGGATCTGATGTTTTGCTCGTTAAAAATGGCTCTGGCAAAAAAAGAAAACTAAATTGAAACAAAAAAAAAAAAGACAAAGTCATCCAGTCATAAAACACCTATACATTTAGCATGACATGCAATGAAGATGTGTTTATTTGGTAGAGCGGCGCGGTTTTATGTGAGCAATACCATGGGCTGCGGGACAACAGGGAGCACTTTGACAGAAGAGTTATGCTTTAAGCTATTCTTTGAGTTAAAGAGGGGGAAAAGGCTTTTCTTGATGCTCGGGTTCCTTCCTGCGTTGCCGTCCGTCTGCAATATAAGACGCACAAAACCCCAGTGGCTCATTCTATTAACACCAAACATCTTTTGTTGTTGAATACAGCAGATGAACATACGGTCCTCTGGTTCAATATTTGTGGACAGAGCACAATAGAGGCAGATTCTGCCACACACATGCTGCTCGGGTCTGTAATGGTCTCCATATGCCTATTGTGGGGAAATGCTACAGAAGGCACTGAACTGCACTGAGAGTCTCTGTTGGATTCTGTCAGGCATTCATTGGACAGTGGAACAAGTGGACGGCCTCCTTTTTGGGATGATATGACCATTTCACCTTCCTTTGTGCACTGGTCAACTACTTGCTGATTGAGATGACTGAATGAACACTATGAGGTGAAATCTTGCCTATTAATTTTAGTGATAAAGAGAGACAGTATTTTTTCTATCCTAGACTATATTACCTTTTGTATAAAATAAATCATTTAAGTTCAATGACTCGCAGACAGACAAAAACACACAACACAGCAGCTAAGCAACACATATACATACATGTGGAATAACAATAATAATAAAAAAACATACACAGAAAAGGTCTCCTGGCTATTCTTACTGCATTTGAAACCATATTTAAGAGCTGAAAAAGGGAAATGCAATGAGTAAATGAATGAATGGGACATTCTTACCGGCTGTGACTTCTTCTTTTTCTTCTTTATAGCTCTGAAGAAACCTTGTTTTTCTTTTTGCTTAGGGACCTCTGGTGGGTTCATGACCATGGCCTCTGAATTATTCCTACAAATGTAATTATTAAAAGTTGAATCTCACAAAGAAACACAAAGAGATTTTGGTCATAAAATCAAATAAAAAGATTTTATTTCAACACATTTGCTGCCTAATTTCTGTAATGCAAATACAAATAATGTCATTGTAATACAAATCCAGACAACTTTTTAAATAACATCAGTATATGTAATATAAAAAAATAAACTTTTTTCAAATCAAATTTTTCACTATATTACTTACACTATATGGACAAAAGGATAAAGTTATGGGGCTGTGTTTTAGGATTTGAGATAGGCCCCTTGCTTTCAGTGAAGGGAAATCTTAATACTTCAGCATACCAGGACATTTTGGACAATGCTACGCTTCCACCTTTTTGGGAACAGTTTGGAATTTTCTATTCCAGCATGACTATGCCATGACTGTACCATCCATACCACAACCCTATTGCACACCTTTGGAATGGCGAGCCAGGCCTTCTCGTCCAACATCAGTGTCTGACCTCACAAAATGCTCTACAGGATGAATTGGCAAAAAATCCCAGAGAAACACTTCAAAATCATGTGGACAGACTTCCCAGAACAGAGGAAGCTGCAAAGCTATTATAGCTGCAAAGGGGGAACCAACTCCATATTAATGTCTATGTATTTAGAATGTGATGTTACTGTGTAATGGTCAGGTATCCCAATATTTTTGTCCATACAGTGTATGTTAGTGAAATATGACAAACATGTTTTTGACATCTTTTATTAAGATTACATAAAACAAAATATTATCAGAGAACTGGCAAATGAAAGCAATTGCTATCATCAGTGAAATGAAAGAGAATGTAAAGTGGGCATGCTTTATTATTTTCTGCACTCACTGTTGCCAGAGACATTTCAAAACCATCAAAGACACTAATTATTTTTACATTGAAGCTCTGTTTATTTCATTTGAAGCCAAATATTTCATGTTGTCACTTCCAGCTTAACAAAGCATTTCATCTTACAGCCATGGTATATGCGTACAGAATCATTTATTTGTCTAGATCGAGCGTGTGCTGACTCAACAAGCATGTTCGCTCACCAGGGGTCGAAATTGGTCTGACGTTTGGGGTGGTTTGTCATGGCTGTGCTTTCCGCTGGCACTCTGCTTTGCCCAGTACTCTCATGGAACGAGTTGTCAGGTCGAGGAGAAGGGACTGCACAAAAGGACAGAACAAATAAAAGCTAGAATATCAAAGCTTAAGTCAAACATTCTTACCACATATATAAATACATATACATTTTCTTTAAATATAATACTTTTATTCAGGAAGGACACATTAATGTTATCAAATGTTATAGTACAGACATTTATAATGTTACAAGAGGTTTCTATTTCAAATAAATGCTATATTTGTAAACTTTATATACACATTAGAGAATGCTAAAAAATTATCATGGTTTTCCAAAAAAAAATTAAACAGCACAACTGTTTTCAGCATCATAAAAGCAAGATAACAATACAAAGAAATGTTTCTTGAGCATCAAATCAGCATATTAGAATGATTTCCAAATGAACATATGACAATGAAGACTGGAGTAATGATGCTGAAAATTCAGCTTTGCCATCACAGGAATAAATTACATTTTAAAATGTATTAAAATATAAAGCAGTTATTTTAAATAATATTTCACAAGATGTCAAGTACATTTTTTGGGTACCTCTGTAAAAGCTTCCCACTCTGCGAGGCATCGAGTCACTGTAGATGATTCTGTTCTCCTTGGACGAGGTTCCATCCTCCGTATGAGCGTCATGGTACATCCCAGCCTGAGTTACAAGAGGATGGTCACACTGCAGGATAGTATAAAACAGTAGTTCCTACAACTTACTGTACATACTGTCTTACAGTATTTGCTTGGGGAGAAAGGAATGATTAAGGAAGAGAAGCAGCAGTGTGAAAGAGAGGTTAAACTGACAGTTCACCCAAAAATGAAATTTCTGTCTTACTCAACCTCAATATCATTCCAAACCTGTGTAACATTCTTTCTCCAATAGAACACAAAAGAAAAGACTTTTGACTGTGGAAATTTTGGTTTATTCTGCTATTGTAATCAATACATCATGGAACATATGCCACATATGCAAAGTCGTATGGGTCACTTTTTGAAGTTTGAAAGCTTCAGTCCCTACATTGTAATTTCATGTAAATAATATAGAAATAGTCTTTAAAATTTAATTCACAGAAAAAAGAAAGTCGAATTTAGAACAACATGACAACGACAGAAATTAATTTTTTTGGGTGAACTGTACATTTATCTGAGATATTTAATGCTAAAGACATGAGCTAGCAGTTAATGTAGTGACATGAACATTTACAAAACATCCATATCAATGGTCTGAAAGCTAAATGTGAATTGCTTTTATGATCAATGCATTAAAAAACAAAGATAAGACGAGGCATGAAAAACAGTAGCAACTAGTGAGTGTGTAAGTGGACGCGTTCTGAGGGTCCTGTTGAGATCTCGGACCTCGTTTTTTGGGCGTTGTGAGTGGAAGGAAGCTGTGTTGTCCCTCGTAGAATCTTTAATCGGGGGGCGAGAATGAGGCTTCTCTTTGGGAGACTGGTCATTCTGCAGACATAAACACACAGCAAAATAAGCAGACACTGGGAGACACTGGGAGTGTGCATGTAATAATCAGACAGAACAAAACAAAATGCATGAATGCAGGATGCAGCAGAGCCGTATCTTAAATTAGATCACATACACACATGCAAACACATCACAAATCGAATCTCCTGAAATTATTACAGTGAACAAGTATCATTTGAAATACTGCTGTTTGCGAACGGTAGAGAATTTGTAATATTCAGACAAAGATGAACAGATTAATAAGAGGGCATCCTTGCTTGGATAGAAATATTCAAATGCTGATCACAGGAACCAACAGAGTGTATTTTAGCGAGATCAGCACCTAATATGCTACAGGACACAGAGATAAAACGAGAGCAGGTCACTGACCCTGCTCAGATCTTGCGTGAGTTCTTCTCGGGAGGAACTGGTGTTGTGGCGTGGGAGTGTGCGATGCTGGAGCTGCGGCGAGAGGAGTTGTAGGCTGCTGGCACGTGTTGGCACTCCCTGCCCGACCACCAAATTCACCTCCTGGCCGTGTGGCCGGTGTCGGTCTCTCCGCACGTACATGGAGTGGCGATGAGGTCGCTGCTGCGAGGAAAACGGGCTGGTGTAGCCGAGACCGTAAGGATAGGATTCGTGTGGGGAAGGCAGATTGTGAGCATGGCTGCCCCCTGCTCCCGCGGCTCTGCTTGGGTCCAGCGTGTCCGAAGCCTTCGGTTCATCCGGCGTCTTTTTCCGACCCGAAGAACGTCTTGAGTCCAGAGTGCCCCCTTCCAGACGCGTGTTCCCCCGGCTACTGGGACTGTGACCCTGCCGCTCCGCCCCAGCGTGCCGTTCACCTCTCGGGCTCCCAGGAGCTGCGTTTAGATCCAGACAGCTGGACGGGAAGTAGCGGGAGCCTGAGCCCGATCCCACCATGGGATCATCCAGATGGAGTCGTGTCTCGGTCAGATTGCTTACGGACTTGGTGTCATTCAGAGCTCCGTGGCTCTTAGACAGGCTGAGGAAGGACGAGGAGCTTTTGGAGGAGGATGTGGAAGGCATGGATCCGTGCGAAGATTCCATGTAGTTATGGCGACTGTGCTTGTCCCCAGACTGCAGCGTGCTGGTCTTCCCTTCCAGGAAGGACGAGTGGCGGCCTGGTTTGGATGACTTGAGGTACTTGCCGGTAGAGGTGTCCCCTCCCACAGAGGCAACTCCAGATTTAGGCCCCAGGTTGAAATCAAATTCGGTCTTTCCCTTTGTGTCTTTGGGGCTGAGTAGGTGGGGAAGGTTATTGTTGGCCAAGTCTTTGCTGCAAGAGGCCGAGCGGCTCAGGGTCTGGGCCTGGTAGCTCTTGGGGTGTAGTGTGGGACTCAGGGTGGATGAGGTCAGCATGTTGCTGCCGTTCAGGAAGCCGTCGGTGCTCCGGTGGAGGTCCTCATGGCGCGGTAGTGACGAGCAGTCCTTGCTGTTAGCCTGCCGGTGACCTGAACTCTTACTTCCGTGGCTCCTGCAGGGATAAACACAAAATATTTATATTCTGGACATTCTTGGAATTAACTTCAAGAGGTGCAACCTGAGGTGATTTTAAAACAGCATTGAGGAAGCTCCCATGTATGCTGGACACTTGTTTGGTACTATTCATTTAAATCAACTGCATTGTAAATTTTAGTTTTGTACATAAATTCATGTAAATTCATCATCTTCCATTGATGGTAAGTCTTTGTGTCTTGCCTTCATAATATGTCTTCCCAATTTTAAGTTAATAAAAACTTCTGTCTAATAATTTTGGTTGCCATCTTATCCTGGTTCACTGTTGTTATTATTAATTAAAACTAAAACTATTACAAATTGTTTGAATAGGGCTGAAATTAAAAAAAGGATCTAAAGATAAGATAAAAAAAAAAAAACTTATAAAACTTACACAAAAATTTGACATATTTCTCTGGCAACTAACCAGAGTTAATTTTTTCTAATTAAAGTTAAACAGATATATTAAAAAAAGAAGAAGAAAGTGCATCACAAGTTCTAACATTTAAATGAAAACTGAACATATAAATATAATAGGCAATTCAATAGGAAGTCAATATGCAGTATTGATTAAAAAACAATCGTCATTTTGGCAGTTCCGTTTGCTGCCACTAGTGGCTCAGAAATCACTAATTTCACCCTAAACCTAGATTCTAGAAGCAGCTATTACTGACCGGCTGGGTATGGTGTTGTCTCCGTGGTATGGTTTTCTCTTTGAGGAGCGAGGTGGGGTGGGCGATGGGACAGCTGGCCGTTCTGGCCCTCTAAGGCCCTGAAAAACTGGGTGGTTCAGACACTGTTCTGTCAGAAAGCGTTCAGTGGGGTTCAGGCACAGCAGGTTCTGACACAGTGAAAAGAGAATGAGGAAAGTCATGCCACACTAGGACAATAAAACCTTTTGGGGGTGATATGACATATGCAGTTTATTTTAAAATAAATCAACACAAAATATATCACAACTGCTGGGATTCTAAAGGGAATACTGTTCTCTAATGAATGTTGCAGACTGTTTTACCTTCATTAAATCCAACATGAGTCCATTGATGATGCCCAGGTACCTTCGATCAAGCGTCTGAGGATGACTTACAGAAGGAAACTGTAAAAAAAGCACATACATACATACTAAAAGAAAGAGGGAGGACTAAAGAATAAAGCTGTACATTTGCATATTTCATAACAAATATGGAATACTTGTGATTGATTAATTGCATTAAAAGGTGAAAGCATTACAATAGGCTGAAGCATTACAATTACTAAATAGAAACTTAAACTGAAATCAAAATAAATTAAACCTAAATAGTAATATTTAAAAAAACAACAAAAGTAAATAAAATTTAAAAAAAAATTACACTAAAAATGAAAACGAAAAATATAAAAGTAAAAGCTAATTAAAATATTAATTAAAACAATAATAGTATATAATTCCATGACATCAACACTGCATGACATCAAATACAAGTTGACTGTTTTAGTAATGGGCTAGTTTTCTTTCTTTAACCAAATCTGCAAGATAATAAAATAAATAAATAAATAAATAAATAATTAATAAATTAAAAAACAATATTTCCTATCCATCTAACTATTTACTTGGTAAGTAGCAGTGTAATTAGCTAAATAATGTATAGTCAGATAGTCATTACTACAAAATAAACCCCTACAGGGTGAAAAGCAATGCAAAAATGGCTAAGAATCATTTGCAGATGTCACTTGTGGAAACAAAGTATGGTTTAAGATGTGACTTGAGTGTCCAAAAGTGTCCAAATACTTTTTGAGGCTATGTATGTGTGAGTGTATGCGCATGTGTATGAATATTATGTACTGTGATAAGCCCTGTCAAGGCAAAGCCAGTTGTGTTTCACACTGGCACATAGCAATACATGAGTCATAGGCAGCCACTTATTCAGAATACTGGCATCCGTGCCATAGGAAAGGAGAGCAGAGAAGAGGCGATGAGAGGAAAGCACAGAACAGAACAGGACAGGAGTGAATTAGAAGACAGGTCCTTACTCTTAGTCCAGCGAAACGAGGGTTGTTATAGAACAGCTTCATCTGCTCTGGTGGTAAGGGGCCCAACACCTTCTGAATGGTGAAGAGCTGGTCGATTTCACTCTCTCCCGGAAACAGGGGCTGCCCATCACTCAGTTCTCCCAAAATACACCCCACCGACCACATGTCCACCGCCTTCCCATATGGAGCTCTGCGAGAGCCAAGAAGAAGACAAAAATAAGTCAAGAACTGACCTTCATTGGAGTCTGACATTTCCTTTAAGATAATTAAGAAAATCAATTACACATAATTAAATGTACATGTAGTTAAATTATAAACATATCAGTAAAATAGTTGAATTATTTTTTATCTTTTATTGACAGATGCAAGACAAAAAACTGTTTCAGAAGAAAATGTATGGTGTTTGCCCTTGCAAAAGCTGCCATCACAGTGCTAGAATGATGAAGGTGGTTGCCAGGGTGTTGCCATGCAGTTGTTATGGCATTCAGAGGGGGTTTTAGGGTGGTACTTTGTGATTGCTAAGATGTTTTGGGTGGTTTCAGAGGATGTTTCTAGGGTGGTTTTTAGGGTGTTGCTAGGTGGTTGCTAGAGTGTTCTGGGTGATTTCTACGGTGTTGCCAGAGTGTTCAGGGTGGTTTTTAAAGTGTTTATTTGCACGTCCTATGGTGTTCAGGGTAGTTTCCAGGGTGTTCCTATGTGGCTTCTAGGGTCTGCTGGCTGTTTTTTAAGAAGTTGCTATACAGTTGTTATGATGTTTAGAGGATTTCTTAGAATGTTGTTTTGTGATTGCTAAGGTGTCCAGGGTATGGTTTCTAAGGTGTTTATGGGTGGTTGCTAGGGTGTTGCTATCCAATTGCTATGATGTTCAGAGGGTGTTTCAGAATGTTTCTTTGTTGTGGCTAAGGTCCTGAGTGGTTTCTATGGTGTTGCCCACCCCAAGTCACTGTAATGTTCGGTGGCTGTATTACAGAAACTTCCCGTCTTAATTCTTGATTTAAAGTGATAGTTTAAAAAATAAAAATTCTGTCATTATTTACTCACCCTCAAGTTGTTCCAAACCAATATGAGTTTCTTTCTTCTGTTCAACACAAAAGAAGACATTATTAATAATGTTTGTAACCAAACAGTTGCTGGTAGCCATTGACTTCCATCATATTTTTGCCATATTATGGAAGCCAATGGCTACCGTCAACTGTCTGGTTACCAGCATTATTCAAAATATCTTCCTTTGTGTTCAACAGAAGAAATAAATTGATAAAGGTTTGGTGAGTAAATTAGGTTGAGTAAATTACTTCATTTTTGGGTGAACTATCCCTTTAAGATTTGAAAAAGTTCTATTTCCTAAGTGAAATTACCATGGTTACTAAAAAGACAGGATATGATTCTAAGTTTGGATGTTTCTGAAATACAGGTCCTTAGTTCCCTAAATATAGCCCTTCAAAAGGAAACCAAAGGATCTGAAAGGCAAAAATCATACATTTGACTACTTAGAAAAGTAACAGCAATACTTTTCAAAGCAGCATGATTTGAATGTCTGTAGCACAAATGGTGCAGGACGAGTGTCATGCTTAGGGTTAAAGTTTTGTTCAAATCCTAACTGAGTTTGAACAATAACACCACTGAAAATGAAAGAGGGATGAGAAGAGTTGCATGCAGAGACAGAGGCAGATACATAGACATAAAACTGAGACACAAATCTTTGTACTAACTCACAGCAAGAGGGAGGGAGAGAATATTTATGTGGGAGGAATTTAAATGGTGAGAGTTTCAAAAAATGTTCCACCGCATTCATCTAGTCTAGTGGCAGTGGCACACACTAGAAAATAACGCTTCAATGGCGACAAAGACAAATAATCATGCACCGCACTCTTGATGTCACATCTAATGGATATATCAAATCAACATGTTTAAAAACGGATGTGCCCTCAATGAACATTAGTGATTCTATTTGAGGAGAGTTTTATTTTTCATGCCTTTAGCTTTACTGAGGAAGAGTTTTCTTTTTTTTTTAAACATGTTTTAGTTATTGTGTCTCTGGAAACAAGGTGTACTATAAATCACCTTGAAAGACAGAACAGGAAGTACAGATATGAGGACTTACCCCAGGAGCAGTTCAGGTGAGCGGTACCACCTGGTCGCCACGTACTCAGTGTAGTTAGCATCGCTGCCTTCAGAAAGATTGCGGGCAAAGCCTGCAGGGTTGGCCAGCCAGGATAGAAAGATGTAGGGAGAAGAGCAAAGACAAAAGGGTATCTGGCATGAGCAAGACTGCGCACAACATTCAGAGATCTTAATTAATCTTCTCTAAAAATAAAAGTCTTAGAGAGAAGCCTGTTGAGTGAGTCATGCTCAATTTCCGTGGCATTCAGTGTGGAGGCAACATTTAACCCAGAGTGAATATATACATTTCATCAGGAGCAGAACCTGGAGGCTGGGAAGCACAAAATATGACTTATCAGGTACTGAGACGATTGTATCTTTTGTATCTTCTAGAGTCACAATACTGCCAACTAGTCTTGGGGAAGCTACTTTGAAACTGATTGTCAAGCTACAAGCTACTCATAATTGAAATTACAATCAAGTTATTATTATTATTATTAAATATTGCTAACAAAGAGTAGCTAACTATATTTAAGCTACTGGTCAATTTAATGGGCAAAGCTAAGGGGATTATATTATAAATATATAACAATATTGAATATATTATTATTATTATAACAAATATTTATGTGTATATTGTTCATTTATGAAATTATATCATATCATTTACAATTATATCACCTTCATTTATCATTTATAAAAATATATTTATACGTAATGTCCATATATTGCTCATTTTACAATTATATCATCTTAATTTATAAAACATTTATATGTGTACTAGTGTGTGTGTTTTAATTAATTAAAAAATATATAAATTAACAATACAGTGTGTTTTTAAACACATTAACACACACGTTACATATTATAAATTATGATGATAGAATTGTAAATAAGATGATAAAATTTTTTTCTGTAACCAGATCAGTATTTATCTAGCATAAAAATCAATGACAACATAGCATATCAAAAATGGTAATGAACAGGAGCATTCATTAAATCTATTATGTTGTATAATTCTATGCCAAAATAATCTTATATAAAATAAATTGATATATTTTGTATGTTGCTAAATAAAACTACATATAAATGTGTCCCCCCCCCCCCCAAAAAAAAACTAGACAATGTTGTGCAAGCATTATAAATAGAGATGTTGGGTTGTCGCACAAAACTACACTACTAATTGTAAAATAGTTACTAAAAACACTGAAGTACTGTCACGCTATAATGAAAAATGAAAATTATAGTAGACTTGCTACTTTGAGTAAGTTACTCCCCAACACAGCTAATGAAGTCATTTTCTGTGATAGTTCAGCAGTCTTCTTTTTTATTTGGAATTTATTTGGAATGACCCAAAATCAACTCAAAATTTGCATTCCAGAGAATAAGCGCTGTCACTCAAATCTTTGCAACAGTGTGATTAGGACAAAAACAGTTTAATTCCCTTCCACTCAAATCCAATTTCAGCAAATGTTTTGTTTTGTTTTCAGACGTCACTGCGAGACTCATGACGCCTGGAAAGGAGACCAAGCATTCAGCGAGAGAGATCAGAGTGAATATGGGGGTGGAGGGTCCTGAATCAGACGAGTGAAAGCCTTTGCTCACCAAAATCACACAGCTTCAGGATATCATTGGAGCTTATTAGGAGATTTTCAGGCTTGATATCTGCAAATTAGATAAAAAGGGATGGATATTTACTTAGTGAGCTCAATTTGTGTTGAAGACTCAATTTTGTACACAAAGATTACACAATCAATTAATAAGAAATGTGGATTGAAATTGCATAAAAATAGATACAATACATCACAGATGTTATCAAAGTTGATTCTAATTACTGTTAAATCACAACTACCTTAAATACTTAATTAAAATACAATCATATTCAGTTTTAAAACTATTAATCTAACCCTAGATTAATCTAACCCTAACCTAACCCTAACATTCAATAAAATAGACACACACACACACACACACACACACATATATATATATATATATATATATATATATATATATATATATAT